TGTAATGTATGTATCGTAGTCAATTCGATAAAAAATGCATCCAATTAGGCGCCTAGCCCTCAAATAGAATAGAGGAATTCATTCGCAGGGTTAAACGTCGATCAGCTGAGAAACCCTCACAACAGTGCGGCGGTACAAAGCCCAGGCAAATAGTAAGCTGTCAAGGATCATGTTCCGAAACATAATTATTAATTTTATTAATAGCAAAATATCCACATTACAACATAAAGCTATATTTATTTATTTAGTGTACAGCAACAGTGATGAAGCATTTTAAGAAAAAAACTAAGCACTAAAAAGCACCTCACTAGAAGGCGACTCTAGCAAAAGTTGATTTTTGCAGGAATTGAATGGACCAAAGATAGTAATTTCCGTTCCTGTTTACTAACATAGTAAAAAAACGGAAATTTACAAAGTTCAAATCTGAAATATCAATACAAATACGAAAAAGTACAAATAGAATATAAGACGTTTATTCAGTTTTCAAAATAACTTTATTTTTTATAGATGACAGAAAACCGGAAGGGTTGTCATGGAGAAATCAAGAAATATCATAGCGACATCTAGTTTGATTTCGGGAACTATTTTTTTTAATATTCCCTCGTTATACATGTAATTACAATTTTTTATATGAAAATAATAGTACAGAACTTACATGATAGCCAATAGCCGGTATACACATTGTTTGAAATTATATGCAGCTATTTGAAAATAAAAAATTTAAGCTAGTTACTTAATTTTTAAAACAAATGGAGAGAAAAATACAAATAAATCTTAAGTGTACACAAAACTAAATCAAATAGTAAAATTTGCCATTTCTAAAATCCTCCAATGTTCGATTCCCGGCCAGATCAATGTTAAAAATGAACTTTTCTATATTGTCTCTGGTCTATGTGTTGTTTTAGATTTTCATAATACAAGTACTTTATTTACTTAAGTTAAGATATGGGTAATTTGTATACTTGCTAAAAAACGAAGGTTTAACAAGAAATAAAAATCAAAGAGGCAGTTAATTTTTCTGACAGCCCTGCCCCGATAGCATGGTGGCAAGTGACGTGGAATGTGATAATGGTATAATTTATGTCGTTAGGGACGAGTGCGATTCCAGTTAATATGTGGGGTTTGATTTCCTCCTGCTGTTGTCCTCCTTTCTGGCTCTTTTTCCTGTTAGTAGGTTTAAAACGATAGCATATCAGCGTAGTGAACTGACTAAAAAAAGCTAAATTGTGATTTGCTTGAGTAATTACAGAACCAAAAAAGATCATATAGGTCTAATTCCTAAAATAATTTCCTAAAATTTGATAAAGGGTTAAGTTTTTGATTGAATTATTAAACAGGGGGCCAATTCAACTAAATAAATTTTGTTTAAATCGAATTGAAAACGAATCGAATACGAATCGAAACAGAACGAAACTCCAGCTAAAATAGATCTGGAATTGTATCGTATGTCACTTTGTAGAATAGGAAAACCATTTAAAACTGTAGTTTCATTCGGTTTCGATTTGTTTTCGATTCGATTTAAACAAAATTGATTTAGTAGATTTGGCCCCCAGAACACAAAAGCATAAAATAGATGTTACTTTACAAGTAAATCAGTTAGTAAATAATCTATCGATTTTAGGCTCCAGCTTTAGTGGTCTAATGTAGTTTGGGGGCTTAGTGTGTGCGCTCAACTACCTCTGAGTCTTATCTCAGAGACACGTGAGCCCTACCACCCAGGACAAGGGACGTGCAATGCGCGCGAACCTACCAGGCTTTCCCCGGTCAAAAACAGAAGATGTGCTATTGTGCAATTTTTTGTCTTAACCCAAGACGGGTTAAGACAAAAAATTTAATTTCTTGTAGAATACAGTCAGACTTAAAATCATAAAGTACCTGAATTACCGGTATTTCTGAAATCTAGCTTAATCGATTTCCCGTTTAAAGGTATTAATATAGTTAATTCGTATGTTTTAATCTATTTTCCTCTTTCTCGAGCCAATATCCTCAATGTTGAGTGTCATGATCTCCATGTAACACTTTGGATGGCGTTACTGATAGTGGAGTCGAGTGTGCAGCGAATCTGATCGGTCCAACGTATAGGGCTTCGTCTTCGGGCCCTCGCCCGTGACAAGCATGTTTTCTTGGTTGTCACCGCTTTTTCTAGCAACATTGCCCGAAGAACTCAATTATATTATTAATCTATAAAACCACCCGTAAATATCGCAAGGTCCCAAGGAAAGTCGCCAATCTCCTATCTATAAAGCAAAATTTAGAAAATAATTTCAGTATTCCATTTGAGTATATTATTCCATATTTGGTAACCTACATTACACGCGCCTTCATTAGCGCCCTCTTGTCAGTCTTGGCATGAGATGAGACTTTATGGCAGACTATCAGTATTCTCGAAATGTTTAATGTCTCCAAACTTTAAGCATGCAGCTCTCGTAACTCAATTTTAGAGATGAACTGCGAAATTGTATTCGTAAGTAATTGAACGTAATGTAACATGTTAGTATTGGTTAAGTGACCTGTGTAATAATGAAACTTACGTATCAATGCTTGAAATGGTGTGCGCAACACGTGTAACACATCGAGATAAACCGACGACATCAGCCTTTAAAATATTTGTTAAATTACTGGACGCAGTATGCAGCGTTGAACAATATGCAATGCAAGAGCAACATTAGAGGTTTAAATAAATAGAAGACTACATCACATACATTGCTCAGATTCCAAGATGTGTAACCAAAGTCCCCGTATTTTGGTGTATCTTAAAAGGTTACACAATACGCAGACCCGAGACAATATAGAAAAGTTCATTTTCTACATTGACTAATTTGCTAAGAAGGTCGAAATCTTTGTTAATTTTATTAGAATAGTACCTACTGCTATTCTTGTGTTAACATTCTATTTCCCTATTCTGTGGTTGGTAAATTTAAAATCAGTACAGAAACTGTCTGCTCAAACTTCTGTATTTGGAAACTTGCTGCGGCTCAGAATTTCTCGAGTGTAACTTTCTGTACAAATATGAAATGCAAGATCATATTAAATTTTTTTTTATATGTTACATTTTTACTCATTCTACCCAATTTTGTTATCATTAGAAGACGTGTAAATTTTTAAAAGATGTAGCAGCATACTCGTATATGGACCATATTCGATTTGCTTTTAATTTTTTATCAAAATTAGGTATAATAATTAGTAGGAGAATTAAAGACACGAATTGTTCATTGCCTATTACTATGATTTAACACAAGTGACTTTTTTTTTATGGTATAGGGGGCAGACGAGCAGACGGATCACCAGATGGTAAGTGATTACCGTCGCCCATGGACACCTGCAACACCAGAGGGGCTTGTAGCCCCGGCGCGCTGCCGGCCTTGGAGGGAAGGGTTGAGGGGTAGAGGGAAGGGAATAGGGAGGGTATGGGCCTCCGGTACCCTCACTCACACGACGAAACACAACGCAAGCGTTGCTTCACGTCGTCAATCGAAAAAGTTCATTTATAGGTTCCATAACGTCGTTAACGTCGTGTCCAATAGCTGACATGTCGTCGACGTCGCGACGTCACGTGTGGGAACACTACGTGCCGAAATCACCATGAATAGTACGATTTTTAAAATTTCTTTGTTCACCATATTGTCGAGTACCTCTTTTGAAGTTGGCAAAGAAATAAATGTGCCGTTTCAATAATAACTAGTGTTATTACTACAAAGGATTGTATAAGTTCTTCGATCTTACTTATATTTCAATACTTATCTGTATTATCAAATACAAAATTCTTATATTTGTATGTGTAAAGTATACGTCTGAATAGCTCCCTTAGTACATTTTACTTTAAATAATTGTTACTAGAATAGTCTAGACTATATGTAAATGGAACTATCCCTTTATTGTCACAGTTAAATTAGGTGTTATTTTTCTCTCTATAAAATTGGATAACGCCAGTTTTAGAGCAAAGGTTATTTTTGAACTTTGATATGATTTCATATTAAAACATGCATTGTTATAAAGCCTTTACACATAATCTAACCTGGACGAATCTGAAAGCCCGTTGTCCCATCTCAGATTGTTCTCTTATTTATATTACGGAATTTTGAAAAATAAGTAACATCCTCTCCAGTATAGTCATATCCCGTAATCTCAATCTCATCGTAAGATACGAGGTCAAAAGTGCGATACAGTAGAAGAAAACAAGGGCATCTTTATATGTAGTATTGCTCTGTATGTATGAAAGCTCAAACTTGAAAGCACAGATTAAATCTAGATTCGAATTCATTCCTGTGTCCAAATTCACGTCATTTAGTGAAGAATTCGCATTCGGGTTCGGATTTTTACAGTATCACTCTGCAGAATCTTGGTTACAATCAATCAGTATATTATTATATATATGTACAGACATTGGTGTATTGTAGGAAAGCCATATCTAAACCTTGCTTATATACCTCTCATAGGTCTGGCCCATCAAATTCTTTATTAGTGTGGCGATAATGTACCGAACCACTCTTCGACTTACATAAAATGGACTGAAGAATTGAGATGCTTTTGAAATGATCAATATTAATATTCACCTTAATCGAGAAGCCACAGAAACAAATTGATGACCTTGTGATCCGCTCTGTTTTCTGCTTGGAACTCGCAATCCTTGTTAACGGCGTCAAGTATTCGCAGCATCCAGCTTTAGCAGTGGTCTTCTTTGAGTAAAATCTATAACTTCACTCACCGAGCGTTCATATGTTTAAGATTGATTAAATTTGCCGGCAAATGTAATTTAAAAACGAATTATTTTAATATGCGTAAAAATGTTCAACGGTCTTTCTTTTGAGAAGAAGAGATTAGACATCTCGTTATTTCTAACGAAATTAGGGGCACAGCGCTGCAAAGAAGTTCATCCATCCATCAACTAACAAGCAACATCCAGCGTGCGCGTGAGTGAAACAAAACAATCTATCTTTCTTCAATAAAAAGTATCTTCATAGACTGGACGGAAACGAGAATTGTTCTACGGCGTCGATCAACGACCAGAATTATAGACCTGTCGTCGTCTTCTACGCGCGTTCGGTCGCCTTTCCCGAACCCTTATGTTTTATGTCGCCCTGGTACTCGGCACAATTTTGAAACAAAAAAATTAGATAGTGAAACTTGATAAAACTGAAAATCTGTGTCATAATTGTTTCGGATTATATTCTTATATCCTACTATAAGAGTACATTCATCTGCAAATAGTCAGAATACACCTCCTTCGACTTCTGAACCTCTGGTACTCTCACATTTAAATTACATTTTATTTACAAATAAAACAAGAAAAAAAAATATGTCTTTGAAGCGTACACCCCCAAAATCACCAGAAAAAGGCTCATTGACACCTTTTCTGGTACAAGTGGACAAAACACAGATTGTTAGAACCTCACAAACTGTGTCAAACACAAAGAGCTTGAATAAAAACAAATCGGAAGGTAAATTAACGCACTTTGGCTCAGAACCCAACTTAACACAACCCAGTGAGGCGATGCAAAATATAAATACACGCAACATTAATAAACGCATACGTCGAGAATCCAACGGTGACGATATTGCAGCCTCACCTTCAAAGGACGCTTCAATAAAATGCATGATAGCCGCACAAGATTCTAAACTCGATACTATTATGGAATTTATGAGAGACATGAAATCCCAAATGAACGACGTACAAGAATCGCAAGAATTTATGTCTTGTAAATATGAAGAACTGTTAAACCGTTTTAATTCATTGGAACAACAAAGAAGAGAAGACAAAAAATACATCCATACTCTAGAAAAAAAAATAGAATACCTAGAAAAAAACGGACGAATCACAAATAACGAGTTAAGAAATATACCGACAAATAAAGCTGAGAGTAAGGTCGATCTTTTAAATATATTAAAAAAAACGGGTAAATTTCTTGATGTATCCATAGAAGAGCAGGAAGTCCGTAATATATACAGAGTTGCTACAGCAGTGCCAGAAAATAAACCAATAATTGTAGAATTCAATGGCATTTTCAAAAAAGACGAATTACTTCAAGCGGTCAAGTCGTATAATAAGAAATACCCTAATAACAAAGTGAACACTTCCCATCTATCGCTAACCGGACCAACCAAACCCGTTTTTATTACGGAAAGTCTTACGTTCAAAAATAAAAAACTGTATGCAATCGCTCGAGACTTCGCTAAATCACATAATTATAGATACTGTTGGACTTCTCGTGGAACAGTCTACTTACGTAAGAACGACGGAGCTTCAGCCCAACGCATCAACGAAGAAGAAGACCTAGACTGCTTGAAATCGTGACTATACCATCAGCAATATATATATAATAGTTTACCCATAATCGAAAAAGTCTTTAAGTCCTATAATGTTAAGTTTTTCTTTACAATGTTTTACGGAACCAAACAATATGTACTACCTATAGAACTATATCTAACTACGCTAACCATAAAAAATAATACACACATACACAAATATTATACTACATCTAAAAACTACATTCAAGTCTTCACAATAACAAAACATAATACATATAATTTACTCACAAATCCACACAAAGTACATATCATAACACAACATCAAGCACATTCACAAGCATGCAACGTAATTAAAAGCACAGATATCAAAATGTTCTCATCGTCATACTTAATACTTGGAATATTAATGCTAATAATATATAATGTCATATATCCATGTTGGATTATTTTCAAGATACTCTTTATAAATCAATACTATCATTAAAAAACAAATATGAATGCTAAACGAGATATTATTATTGATGAAGTAGAGAAAATCGACCAAATACCATGTACATATGTTAATTCCCTGAAGTCGGCAAAAAATATTCTTAATGTAGAAGAAAATAATTCTATCTATATTTTATCACTAAACATCAGAAGTATAAACTGCAATCTAGATAGGTTCCTGTTATTCTTAACCGAATTAGATATCCCAATAGATGTTATAGTGCTATCGGAGTGTTGGACGAGCATCGATGTAATTGTACCCATAATAGATGGTTACGAAGTTTATGCTAGCCAAATTACACACAATCAAAATGATGGGGTTGTAGTATACACAAAAAAGGATCTTGAAGTCACATGCACAGAGGTTGAAATTAGTAAGGGAAATTGCTTATTGATCAAAATTCCTTTTGACATCTCTATAATATGCACCTACAGACCACCGTCTCTCAATACCACAGATTATATTAACTCACTAAACGATCTGCTTATGAAAATTACATCTAATAACATTATTCTGACTGGAGATGTAAATATCAATATCTTGCCGGGACAGTTAAATGGTACAGCGAATGATTACTTAAATATTATGGCCTATTATGGCCTTAAGCAAGGCATCTGGAAACCAACTAGATTAAATGCATGCTTAGACCACTTCATGATTAAAACAACCCTACCTTGTCAGACAGTAATTTTTGACCAATTTACGGATCACTCGCCTATCTTACTCAAAATTAATAAAAATATAATTAAGTATAAACCCATACCACACACGAAAACCACGACCGACTATGATAAGGTACAAAAGGATATCTTGGAATTGGATTGGAATAAATTCTACAAATTTACAGATGTCAATATTGCTACAGAATTTTTAATTAACAACATACAGAATATAATAAATAAAAATACAATTAAAACGAACTTATCGAGTAAGATTAAACCATTGAAAGCATGGATTACCGTAGGAATAGTAAGATCTATTCGAAAAAGGGATAAATTGCTTCAAAAGTTAAGAAAATCACCAAATGATTTAAATCTAGAAATAGAATACAAAAACTATAGAAATACATGTAATAGAATCATAAAATGTGCTAAGTGTAGTTATTATAGGAACAAATTAGAAATGTCAGCTGGTAATAATAAAGAAACTTGGAAAATAATAAAAGACCTATGCAATATAACCAAAAGTAAAGAAACAAATTCAAACTTACTCTGTCTAGATAATAACCCAACAACATCACTTGACCAAGTAAATCAATACTTCACCACCATAGGCAGTAATCTAGCAAATGAAATCTTAAATAAACTGGGACTTACTGAAACTGACCTTGTTAATAAAACAAAAACTACGTCTACGCCGTGTCAAACCATGGCTCTTTTGCCTACAGACCCCATTGAAGTTTATAATATTATAGGAAATCTAGATTCAAACAGTGCATGTGGAGGGGATAAAATAACTATTCGTTTTTTAAAAATGTTTAAACTGTTGTTGACACCATTAATTGTGTTCATTTGTAATTTAAGTTTTTCTACTGGGGTTTTTCCAGCAGTATTCAAGAGTGCTATGGTTTGTCCAATATACAAAGCAGGAGATCGAAGCAATCCTTCAAACTATAGACCGATATCACTTTTACCAACAATTTCAAAAATAATAGAAAAAATTGTAAACAGTAGACTTGTTTGTTATATGAATAAAATAGATACATTATCAGAAAATCAATATGGGTTTCGAGCCGGTAGGTCTACTGAGGATGCCGTGCTTAATCTAACTAGTTTAGTCACAGGACATCTGGATAAGGGAATGAACTGTGTTGGTGTATTTCTAGACCTTCAGAAGGCCTTCGACACAGTTTCAATTCCGATACTACTTAGACGCCTCGAAAATCTAGGTGTGAGGGGACTGATGCACTCTTGGTTCACTGACTATTTGACAGGTCGAAGTCAAACTGTTAGGGTTGATAATTATTACAGTAAGACAGCCTTGTGTACCTACGGCGTCCCACAAGGCAGCACTCTTGGCCCAACATTATTTTTAATATATATCAACAGTTTATGTAATATAAAATTACCTAAGGCTGAAACAATTATGTTTGCAGATGACACCGTAATTTTATTTCATGGTAAGACGTGGAGCGAGGTTATAAAAGTGGCAGAGAAAGGTCTATGTGGGATTACAAATTGGTTAGAGGAAAATCTCCTATCAATAAATTCTGTAAAATCTAAATTCTTATGTTTCAGTAAGACTAAAGCTAAAGATCCGAAAAATAATTTAACTCTTACATTACACACATTTCCATGTAATCAGAAAATGAAACTCAATTGCAATTGCCCAACACTCTTACGCGTTCCAAAAATTAGGTACTTAGGTGTGATCGTAGATGAAAATCTAAAATGGAAAGAACACATAAGCACGGTGTCAGCAAAAGCTCGAAAACTGATGTTTGTTTTTAAACAACTACGCACTGCTGCAGATTACAAACTTCTTATATCGACTTATAGAGCCCTTTGTCAATGTATACTCACCTACAGTATATGTGTTTGGGGAGGTGCCGCAAAGACACATATGATACAATTAGAGAGAGCTCAAAGAGCTGTACTTAAAGTAGCTTTAAATCTACCATATAAATTCCCAACAGAACAACTCTATCAGCAAGCAATGGTTCTTCCAGTCCGTAAACTTTATGTTTTCCTTTTACTATGTAGGTTTCATTGCAAAACAGTTCCATATACACCCTTGGTAACAAGAAGAGTCCCTAGATACAAAGTTCCAACAGCTCACTCAACACTTGTTAAACGTCACTTCACATATATAGCCCCACGTCTTTATAACAAGTTACTGAGATCACACAAAGACATTGTACAATACAGGTCAAAAAAGTTTCAGGACTCGATTATAAAATGGTTAGAACAATACAAATATGATAACTTAGAACAAATAATACAAACAATCACTAGTCTTTCTTAAAAATAAGATAAAGATGTACATGTTGATATGTAACACACACACACACACACACACACACACACACACACACACACACACACACACACACACACACACACACACCACACACACACACACACGCACACGCACCACGCACACACACACGCACACGCACACGCACGCACGCACGCTCAGACACAAAACACTTTATTAATATTTATACTTTAATATAATTATTTGCAAGGAGGAGCCTGCCTCTCGTAACACAGGGTAACCTTATATGAGAGCAGTTCACATTTTGTACTGAAAAAAGTGTATAAAATAAATAAATTTTCATTTTCATTTTTTCTATAGAAACGGCAAAGACGGTCGTGTCACCCAGTGACATCTTGTTGAACCAACAAGAATACGTTCCATTTGACAGTTATGATATTAAGGCAGCGTCTGCTCCCACAGCAAACTTGATTAAAGTTAATATCTAATAATTAATATGACGTCTTACAACATACGTCTACCAGATGGCGTAGATAGAATATTTACAGTACTCATATACAGTTTATGAACTGTCAGCAAATGTAACATCGCAAAATGGTGGGATGATCATTTTCAATATTTCAAAAACATTATATATTTTTCAAAGAACTTATAACCAGAAATGATTTATGCGAGATACCATTTTAACTATTTGAATATCAATCACAACCTATTCCAATATTTTGAACATTAAAATGAAATACGTTTAATGTCAACTTTCAATAAATACCTCGAATAATAAGTCTATGCAAATAAAAACTCCATTATACTCGTAATAATAGAAGGCGTAAAATATTACTATAATCCACTTCAGACGTAAACCAAATGTCTTCTAAGGAATAAAGGTGAAATTCGTAACGTAGAATTGATGAAGGCATTATCTCCAGCAATACAGTTTGATTGTCCGTTATGTTTCTAAGTAACGACCTTTTTACGAGTGATCGTAAATTTCCAATGGCTCTTTTAATACTCACTATTGTCTTACGCAGATGTAATACCAAAGTTCTAATAACATTTCAGAAGGTAAATTCTTTAAAATCTGATGACAATAATAACGTTTTTGTTCAGAATATTTAATATCAATAACAAGTTCAATAACAAGTTGAATGACACCAAAGATACAACTGTTACGGAATGGCGGTAGAAAAATAGAGCTAGTCTGTAGTTGTTCCAGTCTTCAAGAATTGCACCCTAGTGGCAGTCGATTGGCAGTTTTAACATTCTTACCTGCACTGAAACTGCAATTTAGCGTCATGCCGTTCAAATGTAATATCTCCCACGTTTACCTTGTTAAATAAATATTTATCAGTTAAAAGAAAGATAAACTTTATTTCTTTTGACAAAACTTGAAGGAAAGAGAAAACGAAGAAGTCCACGGCACACCATCCATGATAAAATCATGGAAACCGGTGATTCATGGAGATCGCTGATTCATTGTTATCAGCTTATCCAAGATGAATAATATCTCTAAATCTTGAACAATAACTAACTACAATACGAACGAGTGCCTTTTCACATACCCTTCTGTAACAGGTTACCCGGAGTTAGGAGAAACAGCTACTTGGGTCTACAGACATTACAACGAAATACAGTGTTCAAATACTAAGTAGGTAAAATATTTCAGCTCCCTGTTCACGTACCTATACGAGTATTTACGCGTTTGGGGATGTAGCTTAGGTGTCTAAAAACGAATTGTTTTTACATTGATTATGTACGTGTTCAGAGATTTTCGCAGTAAATAATACAACGGACAAATGTAAGCTTTGTCAAAGTAATGTGTTGATATTGCTAATAATATTAAGCTTGAATCGTTGTTCGTATAATCGAGCTGTCGAGTGGAGAGTTGGCGGTTTGCAATTTGCTGCGGTCGCTGCACAACACCTCACGTCTAATTTCAGTCCCACGCCGCCGGACTTTACCTGTCTTGTCACTGACAGACTGCGATGAGGCTCTAGAATTATATAGGTTTGTGAGCTATACTATATAGGTACATTAATGTCAGGTTGTTAATTGTATAACCAATGCCTTATTTACAGCGCATTGGCAAGATTATGTTCCGCTGTAGTTGTTTTTGACATTGATCTGTCCAATATTTTCTGGATTACTTTTAAAAGAATTTTAGAAAACAAAATATATTACACACATAACTACATACATTGAGTTGAATACAATTAGTGAAAATGAAAAGTTTCAATTTTTCGACTA